AAGAAGAGAGAGGGGTACTAATCTATTGACATACTGACAAGTCACTGGGAGTTCATTTAATACTAGGTTCATTTAGCAGAATAGTGGTCGTAGAGTCTCTTCCAGGGCCTATGACCTATCTAGCTACAGTTTCTTGGTCCAGAAACAACAGGTATGGGCTCCATATTGTGGACTGGGCTTTAAATCAAATCATAAGGTAGTTGGTTGCCTTTATGACATTTGTGCCACTATTACACCAGTGTGACTATCTTGTCTTTATCATTGCTCACAGGGTTTACATCTGGTTAAGATTCCATGTGTCCCATTAATAAAGGTAGATAGTTCAGAGGGGTGCTTAATTTGCAGAGATGTTTCAAATAACCCATCTCTTCTCTAGAGAAAACTTTAAACCTTACTTTTGTAATTTCAGCACAAAACACGAAGGTTCCTGGCTCCACAAAGGACAGGGTCTCTCAAAGTAATGTCGAGGATTATCTAGAGCAATAGTTTGTAAGCAAATGGCCCTACTAAGGGCATCAGAGTTGACTGGCAAATGTACTCCTGTCTCTGTCAACATACTACGGATGCCAAGTATCCTGGATTTGAGACATGGCTGAATAAGCATCCAAGTGATTCCAATGAGTGTACCATATAGAGCATCACTGTCTGCATCGCATGGCTGGAGACTCCCTTCACTCTGTGTCACTGTTGACAGAATGCTCTCCAGAGAGTCATGGGATTCTGTCACTGCCCAACTCCCATAAATTCTCACCCGGTTTCTATCCCTTCACCAAGGATCTACTAAGATCCTAAGACCTGCACTGGGTGTCTACTTGACAGAGATGAGTAAAGCAGATACGATGTGGTCCGTCTGTCACTGAGCTCAAAGTCTAAAAGTATGAGGAGAAAAGGGAAGTATATTGAGCAAATAAACACCCAAATTTCTGTATACCCTGGGAGCTGTGAAGAAAATAGTAGAGCATTTAAGAAAGCATAACTAATGTTTCAAATATTGGAGTTCTAAAGTGGTCGGAGAATGCCATTCCATCTGGGACTTAAACAGCGGATGCCATCTAGGACTATGGGTAATCAAGGGGAAGAGTGACTATGCACACCCTGCAGTAATAAGGAGGTACATTTCTTGCACATGACTGCCCTTAAGCTCTGGCTTCCAGCCCTACTGCAGCGCATGCCTCCAGTAGCTGGGAGAGAAGTGGTCAGAATCAGAAGGGAAGTTGAAGCACGGTTAATAAAAACTCAGAGAGAGAAATTGGCAGTCAACCTGAGGTCAGAAAAGCAAAATAGATTTAAAGAAAAAAGATAAAGAAAGAAAAAAGAAAAATAGCCAGTCACTGGTTCTCACCTCACCCTCAGTCTGAAAATGGTGATCCTGCCTCCAGGAATCTCAGAATGAGACTGTGTCTGTGAGCTGTCTCCTCTCATTTTATATTCCTTTCTAGGATTGGGATTAAGGGCATCTGTCACCCAGTTTCTATGGCAAACTAGTGTGGCTTCTTGGGATTAAGGGTATTTGTTACCACTGTCTGCTCTGTAAGGCTGATGAGTGGGGCTGTTTTACTCCCTGATCTTCAGATAAGCTTTATCTATTAAAGTACAAATGAAATGCCACTACAGGAGGCCATGGATTGGTACAGACCATTAAAAAACTCCAGACCTGGATATTTTTTATTACATATTTTTAGTCTGGGCTATCTGTCTGTCTGTCTGTCTGTCTATCTACCTGTATGTCTGTCTATCCATCCGTCCATCTGTCCACTTATCTATCCATCCATCCATCTCTCTGTCTATCTGTGTGTATGTACATATGCTCACATGCTTGCCTGCATCTTTATGTCTGTGTGTGTATATAAGAATGTGCAAGTGTGCATGCCTATGTAGGTTCATGAAGAGGTCAGAAAAGAATAGAGTATCTTACTCTATAATTCTCCAATTAATTCCTCTGAGAATGAGGCCTTTCACTGAACCTGAACTAGAATCACTGGTCAGTAAGTCCATGGATCCGTCTGTCTCCCACCCACAGTGATGGGACTACAGGGGCTTGTGGTCATGCTGGTCCTTTATGTTGGTCTTGAGAGTCTGACCTCAGGTCCCTTGTGACATGCCTGATGTTTACATGGGTACTGGGGATTTGAACTCAGGTCTTCATTCTTGGGGAAGCAAGTGCCTGTATCTACTGAATCAACTCTCTACTCCTTAATCTGGGAGTTCTCTTTATCATACTTTACATAGTGTGATTCCAACAGTGGTCCCCAATCTTGGTTGTACAGTAGAATCTCCAAATGAACTTTAGAAAAATATATTGCTATCTTGGCTACAATTGTAGAAATTGACTTAATTGGCTCATGGTATATTCTGCATGTGAGAATTTTCTAAAACTTCCCAATCATTCTAACATGTAAACAATTCTTGCAAGCCACTATTCAGAGAAAGAAAAAAGAAATCTAAACGGGTCAACAAAATTGGTCCATGGAGGGATAACATAATCTGTATGCTTTGTTTGCCTTTATTGGAAAGCAAAGAACAGCTGGTAAAAATTAAACTTAAGTTGATAGCATCCTAGCCACTAAAGATGCCTCCCTGGCTGCCTCTTTCACACACAGATGATGCTTCTTGACACTCGGTCTGTTTTTATGAGACCATTCTTCACATCTGAGTCTCTGTGGGACCAGCTGAGGGAAAAGACACAAATGTGGGCTAAGAAAAATATCGTTTGCCTCTGAAAATTTGAAAATAATTTGGGAAGGCAAAGCTAATATTCACAAAATAATAGAATGAATATGTTTTAATTATTAGAGAGGAGAACTTAAGTTCAAGAAGTGGGGAGAAATCTTCACTGGGCCTGGGTTAGTGGACCGAGACAAGAGGAAAGTGGACTTAGTAATTTAGGAGAAGGGGTCCTGGTGAGAAGCAGGTGTAGAGGACAGAGAGCTGAATCTCTGGCTCAGTAATTGCTGCTCTTCTGAAGACCAGGCTTGGGTTTCCAACCCCACGCCAGGCTACTCAAAACCACCTGTAACTCCAGCTCCAGGGGATCAGACACATTCTTCTGGACTCCACTGACATAAAAATACATGTGTACACACACTAAGACACATACACATAGGAAAATAATAAAATAAAAATAATGTAAAATGCACACACAGAAATGATGAGAGAGGAAGGGGAGAGGCTTGTTTTGTAGTTTTACCCGATTAGGATATGGTGGAAACTTCCAAAAGCAGGCTTGTTGAAGGCCTACAGGTAATTGAGGTATGACGGGCACTGAGGAATTTCAACCTCTTCCTCTTTCTTCTTATTTGCTCCCCAACTATAAAATGAGTACTTCCGTTATGCTGTGACACCATGTTGTCCTAGCTCACCACAGACTCAAAGGCAATGGGGGCCATTGATCATGAACTAAAACCTTCAAAACTTTGATCCAGAGAAGAACCTTTCTCCTGTCAAGTTGATTTCTTGGCATTTGTTCCAGGAACAGAAACCTGAGTAACAAAGAAAACCCACATATCCACTAGGGTGAGAGATGAGAGTAGCAATAACCTTTCTGCTAGAGGCTGGTCATTAACTAGTTTTCATTACTGCATCTTGTTTTCAAAGAAATCTCCTTCTCAGACATCTCCTTTCATACTGAAGAAGACTCATTCTCTTTTTCCACTTCCTTCTGTCCCCAAAGTAGCTAGTTGTTGATTTCCAAATACTTTTGTGTCAATAACTGGGCTTTGCAATTTTTAGGTGTCCCAGCTTAGGTAAGCAGTCTCTTGTGTTTGGTCTCTCAGGCACAAGTTATCACAGCCATCCTCGGTATGTGTTTACTAAGTAAAGCACCATGGGAAACATGAAACACAAACTAGCAGATGTCATAGTCACAGCATTCAGTTCGGAAACTGTGGCCTTCAAACTCATCGAAAGTGAGTGATTTTCCCCCAAGTTTCTACCATGAATGCTAGAGCTTACAAGTTTGCCTTGTTCCAAAGTCCAATATAAGTATGGCCTTTCACAGATGACTTCGCAGAGAAGAAATGAAAACGTTTAATGTTACTCAACTATACCTAAGACTTCAGGATCAGTGTGCGTCAGAACCAACTGTGACCTTTTTCTTTAACTATAGAAGACTGGGACTGTAGAAATAGATACATTAATATATTTTACATTTTATATATATAAAATAGAACCTTGGAAATACTGGATGAGAACCTCCAGAAAAGGACCTAGAGATCTACAGCAGTTTTGCAAACAAGTAGATAACTATACTACGAGCTTTGGATGGAGAACAATGGTCCTATTCAGTGGCCAGATCGGGAAGCACGTGTCTTGCTTAAATGCTGCTTCCCATGTTGACATGCTGGTCTGCACAAGACTCCTCACTTTGAATTATATGAGCATTTTCCTACTTATATGACTAAAACAACCGCAATAAATAAAGTGTGGTGATGATAAGTTGAAGGACATTTGAAAGATACTACACCTTGGAAGAATTTCTGGAAGTCCTAAGTACAGGCAACTTACACAAATGTCATCACTTGAAGACAGTAATTACTTAAGAACTGTTATTTTCCCCCAAAATGTATTAAGTTATGTCACACAAACCCTGTTGTCTGTGGTTAACAAATGTGTTTCTTTAAGGCTTGTTTCAGATTAGCTGGCCTTTTCCCTGTCTAATAATTGAATTCTTATTTTTTTTAATAAATATTACTAAAGGACTTGTACCACCTTGGCAGAAAATGTGGTTATAGACAGATTTAGGCATTATCAAATAATGAAGATCTTATTGATCACAGTTTCAAATGCTTTCTCGACCTGCTTTTGGTCAGCATAAAGTTTTAAAACAACCATGATGGGCAGAGAGAACCGGAAGTAAACTTGTAGCATCTTTGGAAGTGGGGTGGGCTAGAAATCTGGATCTCTTTTTTTTTTCAGCTAGTTAATAATTAGTATCCATGTTATTCAGAAGTTTGTTCTGAATTATGACTATAACTAATTTTTCTTTCCTTTGCGATAAAGGACTGTCATTCAAAAGCTGTGTTTGAAGGAAGAACTTAAATGAAACTCGGCATTCTCTCTTCTCCCCGAAGGAGTGAAGTACTAGGGAGAAGGCAAAGGTAACTAAAGCTGCAAACACTTTGGGAAGCTATCAAGTGTGTGGCCTATTTGAAGCTCTGTGTTAACACAGTGTTTCGAGTTGCTTGCTATTTCCCCAAATATAAATGCAAGCAAGTAGGGAAAGCATAAATGGAAAGTCAACTTGTTCTGCAGATAAGAACTTATCTATCAGCAGATCTTATATAACAATTCATAAATTCCTGGGCTTCCACCAGTAGGCAAGGTCATAGCAATTAAAAAACAGTTTGGAACACACGCACTCAATCCAGGCAACAAAATTAAGGCCATAAATTTACTTGCTTGCCAGGTCCCTCATATTCACTTGTTACAAATGGTTTAATATAGATAGGGAGGGCAAGCTACCTAACAGTCCCAGGATTCCCTAGGAAGTGGCTATTACCAGTAGCTATTAAAACCGGGAGAAAGTGGGAGAGAGTAATTAACGGCACAATCTCTGTTGGTCTGTGCAAGTGTAGGTCACAGCAGATTTGGTTCTGCTTTTGCGCACATGTGCACGTGTGTGTGTGTGTGTGTGTGTGTGTGTGTGTGTGTGTGTGGTTTGTCTTATATAATTTAAATTTTACAGCATTCGATGAGGTAAATCACTGAGACTGATTCTTCTGTCTATCTCACCTAGTAGGAATAACACAGGAATCAACCAAACAATATGTCCTTAGCGAAGGAAAACCTAAGGCAACAGTAAAGTGTCAGAAACAGTAAATGTGCTTATCTCCGTATGAAGAGCAGCTTTACCGTAATAGTTTTGAAACCGTAGACTGCTAGTAGCTACTCTGGAAGTGCCATCACTGTTCAGACCTGGTACCCAAAGTCCTCAGAGCATCTCCTCACCAAACCCTCCTCTTCTTGGCTCTGAATCTTTGCTGTGTGAGCAGAACTAATGAACTTGCTAAGCTGAAGAACACAGAAGTCTGAATGGCACAAAGTATCTTTAAAGTAGATTGCCCACCTTATATATCTTGGCTCGATGTTTGTAGAATCATAAAACATTCCCAATGAAAGTGATCTCAAATATTACTCAGCAGGCACCCATCATACAAGAAGGGACGTTTGGTCAGGAAGGCTGAAGTGGTTAATGAGGCCACAGTCATGATTCGAGGCTCAGCTCTGAGTTACCTAGAGGTGCCCCTTAGGAAGGGTGGGGGATTTCCTCTCACATTCTACCAACTGAAACCAGAAAATTCTTTGAGGTTAACAACTCACTTTTTTTAATGAAGGTGCTAACCCTATCGGTCATTCCCATATTTATGCCGTCAGTGCCTTAGGGGGCAACATCTAGATGATACTCTGCAAGCATGCGCGGGGTGGGGGTTGTTCGAAACTCCCTGGAGGAAGTGGAGCAGCTGTCCACAGGAATGTCGGAGATTGCCGAAACCGCTACTGCCTCTGAAGGTTTATGTTTCCGGATCGTACGTCACCTTCACTATGACCTGAAGCGGGTTTCCTGGTGTCTCTGAGCCTTGGCTTACTTCTGGTACCAGGATAAGAGCAGCTAGCCTCCAGGATTGTTGTAAAATTAAATATCAGCTCATTAAATAAATAATAAAAAAAAGTAAGCAAAATGTCCAGGGGTTTGCATTCAGTTCTGTTTTCCTTTGTATTCAGCACACGCGCACACACACAAACACACACAAACACACATACACACACACACATATACACACACACACATACACACACACACACACACATACACACACACAGACAGACACACAGACAGACAGATACAGACAGACAGACACACAGACACACACAGACACACACACAGACACACACACACAGACACACACACACAGACACAAAGACACACACACACCAGAAACTTGCACTAAAACCAGAAAGGTTTCTAAGGCCTCCCAGCCTAAGCTGTCTCATGCATAAAATGGAAGAAGATGGGACGTGGTTCAATGCCCAGGGATGTGATGCCCGGAAGACTGTGTCCTGTGAAAGGAGAGAGCGCCTCTCTTACAACCCGCCGGGACTGCAGAGCCACCATTGTCCTGAATTATTGTCTTGTTCTCTTTTCCAAGTATCTGCTACCCACTTTTCAATCTTCAACTTGTATATTTTTCCAACAAGCCGAGGTGTTCCCAGTCTTTGCTGTTCCTGTGCGACAGAGCCCTGCCCCTCGTCGAGGTGGCCTCTCTCCTAATCCATCTCCCTGACAGCATTTGTTTACCGCCTCCTTTTTCACCACACACTGTCAGCTATTTTTTTATTATTATTATTATTCTGGGTTTCCTATGCTAGAAGACAGACTTTTCATGAGCAAAGATTCTATTTTTTATTTGACTTTTAAAGCAAACTCTACCAGTCTAGCAGGGTATTTTGATTACAACAAACTCACAAGCCCACGGAGAGAGGTGAACTCCACCCCTTAGTATAAAGTGTTCTGGTTCCGAAGAGGGTACACAGAGCGGACATGCCACCGTAGCTGTTTGGGAAAACAACCTGTCACAAGACTCTAAACCAGTAACATCAAGCTTTTTTGAATTTTAGATAGGAAGAGCTATTTCATTCTTCAGTCTCTAAAAGACGACCAGACACTTAGTGGCCATTTGTCTTACAAATTGAGAAGGAAAGGAAGGAACGGGGTGAGCCTGAGTCTAGCATGCCCGGCACCCGAGAGCCTCAGTTCTAACACTCCTTTCCCGTGAGCCTGAGGCCAGCACCAGCGCAGGAGCTGCACTTCAGTAGAACAAATCATCTGCTACCAGTGTAACAACACATAGCTGTTTGCACCCTTGGAGTCTGGTAGGAGCATCCTTAGATGCTCTTTAGAAGGTTACATATATGTCATCGGCATCACAAAGGTAGATTCCCTGCTTGATGTTTCTACCCAAAAGCTGGCCTTTTCCTTAGCTCAGATAACGATCGATTTAGGATGTTCTATGTGGCTGCAGGAGGGTATGAAGTTGAGTTCTGTAGAGAAACAAAAACAGCAAATATATGTCTACACCAGGAGACGTGGGGGAGAGAGGGAGATTGGTTGACTGTGAGGAACAGGTTCCAATGATGACCAACCTTAAGAAGGTCCAAGATCTGCCCTCGGCAGTCTGAAACCCTAAGTGGGTTAGTTCCAGGCCTCCAGTTCTGAAACTAAAAAGCAAGAGAGCCAGTCGTTCAAGTCTGAGTCCAAAGACAGAAGAAAGGCCAGTATCTCAGGTTGCAAGGGCCAAACAGAGAGAATTCTCTTTCCCGTAGGCTTTTATTCAATTCAGGCTGTCAATGAATTATAAGAGTCCCATTCACCCTGGGAAAAACAACCCATTGTACTCAGTCTATTGATTCAGATACTAACATCACCAAAAGTAAACTTTTAACCACGTAATCATTTCTGCCAGTGGCATCCACTTGTTTGCAGTCTCCAAACAGTTGCTGCCTGCTAAAACATGTAAGAGAAGAGGGGCGCCAATAGAGAGTAATCAATATCTCAGTCCATTATGTTGCAGTAAAGGAAAACCCCTTAGGGTGGCTAGTTTACCGACAACACAAAATTTATCTCCCATAGTTCTGGAGGCTAGGGAGTCCAAGGTCAAAACACAGCAGCACGGTTGGTGCCTGGCCTGTTCCTCACAGATGAAGCTTCTGTGTCTACACACAGCAGAAGGTTGGGTGCAAGGGACAAGACAACTCTCCCGGTCCTCTGTTATAAGGACACCGATCCCATTAATCCCATTATGATCTCATAACCTAATCATTTCCAGAAAGGCCCCACCCACCTCTCCGCATTACCACATGGAACAGTGGGTCCCAACATACAAATGTTGAGGGAGCCTCGAGATTCAGAAGAGAGCAGTAATAACCTCTTTAAAAGATGGAGAGGGCAGTCAGGAATGTTTCAAACCAACTGGGTTCTAACACAGAGTGCTTTATTAAAAGCACAAAGGATATTACGTCTTTCATAATTACTGATGCCTTCTGCCCGTGGCCTTTGGCTGCTACATCTTTAAGCTATGCTGAGAAACGAACATTCCCCTAAGGACTCAACAGAGAAGGAGACAAGTGGATCCTTCCTTCCTGAAGTGGGTTCCTCCAGTTGGAACCTTACTCTGGAACTCCTAGGGAACCTGGCTGAGACTCTCTCCCAGCTGTAATGCATTTCCCCCCGCCCCCATTTCATTCACCCCATTCCAACCCCTAGGCCCCTCTCTCCTTCCCAGGAGGCAGGCCAGTAGCATCTCTGCCTCTCTTTGCATACTTCCAGTGTTGACCTGCTTGATTTTTCATAACGTTGCCCCTAAAGTCATTTCTGTGTGTTTTCAATCCTAGTTTGAATTTAGGATCAGGAGAACCCAAATTCACACAGTTGTATAAAGCTCCAGAATAAAAGAGACCACGGAATTATAAAAACAAGTAGCTGTGTCCTAGAAGTGGGGGTGCTAGAGAGACACTGTTAAGTCAACCCACGAAATTGGAATATGCATAAAATTAGACAAAAGAAAATCAATGGACATTCGCCTGAAGTTGATAATGTGTATAGTGCTGATCGAGATAGCTGTGTTCTTAGAAAGTGCAGCTGAATAGTGTAGGACTAAAGCCCTACAATGGTTGTAATTCACTATCAAGAGTTCAGATAGCATTATCTAGGGAAAGACAGGATAGCGTGATTAAAACGGTGACTATGAAAAAAAGGCTCTTTGTACTATTCTGTGTGCTTGAAACCTGTTCCTAAATGAAAAGCAGAAAGAAAGAAAGAAAGAAAGAAAGAAAGAAAGAAAGAAAGAAAGAAAGAGGGAGGGAGGGAGAGAGGGAGAGGGAGGGAGGGAGGGAGGGAGG